GGGGGGTGGCTAGCGGGGGCTTGGCGGGGTCCGCTCAGGGACTGAGGGGCTGGAGGGCAGGGCAGCGATGCCCGTGCCCTCGGCCGGCTGATGCTGTTAGCGAGTGTGCCCAGCCCGCAGGGCTGTGCCCGTGCCGCTCAGCAGATGGGTATAGCTGCGGGAGGCAGCGCTGTGGGTGCAAGGATCAGACCAGGAGATCAGAGGGTGCAAGTCCTGGAGGCCACCCTGGAGGCACAGAGTCCCTGCAGCACAAGGTGGATCTGGGCCTTGGCTCCCCTTGCCTGCATTCTGCTGCAGGCAGGTCCAGGTGGGGCTGGTGTCCCGCCACGGTGGTGCCCACCCTGTCCACCAGCTCGTGCCCCTTCCCAGGGACACACCGAGCTCCCTGCAGGGAGCCTGGCCTCCCCCTGCCAGGAGGCCCCACGAGCCGCCTGTTTCTCTGGGGCCTCTGTGGGCGGAGCAGGAGACGGAGGTGCACAGGCGGCCGTGCCCTGCTGGGGCCTGACCCTGAGCCGCCTGCCCCGGGAGGTGGGAGGAGCCCTGAGGCAGGACCGTTGGCTGCAGGTCAGCCTTGGGGGGCCTGTGTGCTTCTCCTGTGCATGCATGTACACGCATGTGCACACACACGGAGCAGGAGCCAGGCCTGCTTCTGCACATGATGGACGCAGAGGTGAGGTCCGGGCGCAGTGGGGCCTCCCAAGTCATCCCCGTCAGAGCCAGACCCTGTGGTGGTAGGAGCCAGTGGGGGGCCTCAGGAACCAGGCCCATGGTTGGGGGCATGACTGGGTCCAGACCTGACACCCCAGGAGGGTCCCCAGAGGCCTCAGGCAATCCTTCCACCACAGACACCCCAGCCCCAGAGGGGAGAACAGATGCCGCCCTCTGCCACCACAGACCTGAGGCCCACCCTGGAGGCTGGCGGCCCAGGGCTAGCCCAGCCAGAGTCCTGAGCAGGGGCCCAGAGGCTAAGGCCAGTGTGTCCCCAGCAAAGGGAGACTTGCAGGGTGGTACCCCGCGGCCCTTCTGCCTCGGGGAGCAGACTGTGAGGTGCCGGCCTCTCCCTGCAGGCCCGGCAGGTGGAGCTGGAGCAGGCCCACACCCAGCAGCTGCTGGGCCTGGCTATGGAAGCCCAACAGTGTGGGGCCCGGCTACAGGCCTCACAATCCCCAGCATCCCAAGAGCAGACCCCCTGATCACAGGCGAAGGTGCCGGAGGAGCAGGTAGGACCGGGCCCCAGCCCAGGGCAGCTCCCACAGCCTCAGCAATGGGCACTCACCTCAGCGGTCTCTGGCCAGTCCCGGCGCTGTTCACACTCTGCCCCCGGAGGCTGAGCCGCAGCGGCCCACACCCACTGGAAGGGGGAACGGGTTCCGGGACAGGCCCTTCTACCCCGGCCTCAGCCCTGCAAGGTGGGGTGTGAGGACCATTGCTGGGACGGGGCCCATCGGCTACAGCATGGGGACCTCCCCTGTCCCCAGAGCCACCGCAGAGGCAATGGCACCCGGGGGCACAGTAGTCGAGGACACGCGGCAGAGCATTGGGTGTGCCGACGCCGACATCCTCACCTTCCTGGGGTTCCCATGGCCCATGTGGAGGGCTTGGTGACGGAGTTCTGGAGCCTGTGCCCTCGCGGGCTGTCAGGGGCCACCCATCTGTCGCTCCCCATCCAGGGAGACGTGAACTGTGGCCACAGCCCTGCGGTGACAGAGCTCTCCACGCCTCACACCCGGGACTGGATGTCCAGCTGAGCCCTGCCCTGTCCCCAGGTGGCCGGCCTGAAGGAACAGCTGGGCCCAGAAGTGCAGCGGCAGTAGCAGGCCCACCCAGGCCAGGACCCTCATATGAGCCCCCGAGGGTCTGCCCACCTACAGCCCTGACCAGTGGGGACAGCAGGCTCCGGGCAGAGCCGACAGCTGAGACAAGCACGCTGTACAGCAGCCATCACCGCCCCCCCCAAGTTGCGGGCCTGTAGCACCCCATGACGACAGATGTCCCTGCCTTCGGGGGTCTCTTCAAAGCCCCCTTCCCCTGCTAAGAGACCGAGGGCATCACCCCGACAGCCTGCCCAGGCCTGGTGAACTGTTTCTGCTCCCAATGCACTGGGCCGGCCAGACCCCTGGGCCTGGTGGCGCCTGCGGCCACAGGCTCCATTCCCTGCCCACAGCTCTGCTAGCGCGGGAAGGCACATGGAGACGTCTCCACTCCTGCAGCCAAAGCTTTATGTCCCGCGAGGCCGGCCACCACCTGCCCACGTCCGGAGGCCAGAACCTTCCGCAGCCGGGAACTGTGGCTGGCCCCAGATGCCTGGAAATGACTCAGACCAGGACCCCACTCCCTGGCCACCAGAAGTGCCCAGAGTGTGAAGCGGGGAGCTGTTACAGAGCCCCGCCCAAGGTGGCCACGGAGGGCCAGCAGCCTCGCCTGCAGGGGTGTCATGCAGCCCCCTCTTGCACCGCAGGCCTCCGTCCCTCCCTTCCTTGCTTTGCTGTGGGACCTGCAGACCTCGGGGACACAGAGGCTCCTGACGTGACCGCCACCGCCTGACTGCCCCAGGGTCACGCTGGCTTCACGGGGCTTCCTGTCAAACTTGGTTTTCTACTTGAATTTAGTAGTGAGGGTGCCCCAGGGGACCCTGCGTGTCCATCCTTCCTGCCCTGTCCCGCAGCGCCTGAGTGGGCCGCGGCCGCGAGGAGGCACGTGGGAGACAGCAACGTCCGAGTGGCGGTGGACGGGCCCTGATGGCCGCTCGTGCTCAGGAAGTGCCGAGAGCACGGCAGGCAGCTTCTGTCGTGTGCCCGAGGCCCAGCCGGCTGGGGAGCCGCGGTTCAGGCTTACCCGATGAGCACACCTGTGTTTAGGAGGAGGGTTCTGGTGGAAATAAACGCTTTCTCAGCCCTCCCCCACAGTGACGGTGCCTCTGCGCGTTAGAGCCGTCCATGTCTGGAACCTGAGGCCGGGAAGGCACCTCTGCCTGCTCTTACTGCCTCGACACCGCCAGCAGGAGGCTATGGCCACTCGCCTGTGTGGGCAAGTGGGGTCTGGCCACCCTGGGCCTCCACGGCCAGCCACAGCTCAGCCCGTGCACCCAGCGAGGCAGTTCACGGGAGGCCGGGGTGTGCTGGGCAGGCCGAACAGGGTGGGTCTGGACCCAGGTACTGGCCCCACCCCTCTGTGGAAGTGATGCCAGAGAGGGGCAAGTCTAAGTGTGCAGGGAGGGTCTGGGGGGAAGGGCCCATGGAGGCCCTGTGCTGGCAGCCTGCCCCCCACATGGAGGCCCCTGGCTGGGCTGAGTGAGGCTGGCCTTGGCTGGGAGCCCAGCTCTGCCCTCACCAACCGTGCAGCCTGGGAATCTCTCCAGGCCTCAGCCTCCTTGTCTCCAAAAGGGGAGAGACCCCAGCCCCAAAGGGTCATGGCATCAACCTGCCAACACCAGGCATGCCATGGGACTGCCCTGCCACCCTCCTGCCACCGTCCCCTGCCTGGAGAGCAGGGCAGGGGGGCAACGGGGAACAGCCCCAGCAGCCAGCATGGTGGAGGTGTCACAGTGATTCCCAGGGGGGTATGCATTGCGGGACCTCTCCAGACCCTCCAGGGACTCGGTGTCTGGGAGAGCTGGAAGGCGGGCACCCGGGACCTGCCACCCTAGCCCGGTAAGCCCAGCAGAGCCCCCAGAGGCAACTCACCTCTCCCTGCTGGGCCAGAGCGACAGCATGATGGGGGTGTCTGCCTGGGGCTCCCACCAGGAGACATCCCAAACACATGCACACACACACACCACACACATGCATGCATGCACACCAAATGCACACACAGACATGCACGCACGCACCAAACACCCACACATACCCACATACATGCACACACTCTCACACATGCACACGCACACACCAAACACACATACACAGAGACCCATCCACACATGAGTGCACACACACATCAAACACACACATGCATGTACATACACGCCAGACACACACAAAGACCCACATACATGAATTCACCACATATACCAACCACACAGACACACACTTACCCTCACATATGCACACACACCAGACACACACTTACCCTCACATATGCACACACACCAAACACACACACACACCCTGAGACCCATATGCATACATGGAAACACACATACCAAACACATACAGATGCATGCCTACACACACCAGACTCACACACAAACATACACATACCCACACACATGCACACACACACACACACACACACACACACACAGGGCCAGGAGGCAGGTAAGAAAGAGCACCCAGCCCTTGGGACCAGCCGTTAGTGTAATGGCTATGTGGCTGGACTCCCACGTAGTCGACCACGG